ACGTATTTAGAAGTTGAGAGATTTGAGTGGATTTACTGTAACGACCACGTTACATAATGTGAACTACGTATTTAGAAGCTGAGGGATTTGAGTGGATTTATTGTAACGACCACGTTACATAAAGTGAACTACGTATTTAGAAGTTGAGAGATTTGAGTGGATTTACTGTAACGACCACGTTACATAAAGTGAACTACGTATGTAGAAGTTGAGAGATTTGAGTGGATTTACTGTAACGGCTACGTTACATAAAGTGAACTACGTATTTAGAAGTTGAGAGATTTGAGTGGATTTATTGTAACGACCACGTTACATAAAGTGAACTACGTATTTAGAAGCTGAGGGATTTGAGTGGATTTGTTGTAACGACCACGTTACATAAAGTGAACTACGTATTTAGAAGTTGAGAGATTTAAGTGGATTTACTGTTACCGCCGCGTGACAGAAAACGAATTATGGATTTAGAAGTTCGGCGGTGTGAATGGATTTTGAGTGTTAGTGTTTGTATAAATCAATAAAAATGGAGATTGATGTATCCTTGGGAATATGATTAGTAGGAAATAGTTCTTTTTTCGTTTTTGATGTCTTAGATGAAACAATGAAGCATGTGGTATGGAGTGTTGTTGTATTTTGGAATCGGGTTCCTGATCTGTGTCCGACCGTCCGAGGACCGTTATGTGCTTTTTGTTCTCCGGTCTTGTTTATCCGAGCAACCTCAGTTGACACTTTGCCGTATGGTCTGGGTTTCCCGGCACCTTCACTGGCTCCTTTTCCCTTCAGTATCGCTTTTCAAGCACCCTCACTTGTTAGTTTGCCCTTCGGTTCTGGTTTCATGTGATGGACTATTAGCCGATGACCCGGAGTAAGTAAAACTTCTGATGACAGGTGCTTTGCATTTTATTCTGTTGTCGGTTATGGTTTATATAGATCGGTCAGGAAAGGAGTTTGAAAATGTTTCGATGATTTTTCACTCTGCTGCTTCAGTAGTCAGGTTATGGTTGTAGTAGTCTCTCTGGTTTGCAACGTTGTTTCTTGTTTTTTTTTCGTGAGAAGTTAATATCTATATGAGATTTTGAGTATATTTTAGCAGGTGAACCAGTTTATTTATTAGATATAAATAATAGAAAGAGAGAAAAAGTTTGAGAAGATGTTACTTTTGAGATTCATAAATAGATATGTTTTTTTTCTTGCAATTCATCAAATTAAACAGCAGTAAATAGAAAATTTTACTTTTCGGTAAAGAAAATGATGATAATGCGTTTTGATACTTCTTTAGTTTAGAATTCGTCTGTTCGCAGACGACAGTGTTTATTTGGTCCACTTCTGGATATTTGTATGGGTTTGTTTGAGCTTGGCACATCGGCCTTGCATGATTGCCAATATGAAACTTGTCAACCAAGAAAGTCATGCTTTTTCTAATAATAAAGACGGAAAGATATAAATAAATATACATATATATATACTTACAAGGTATCAGTGCGATTTGTTCTCTGAATCTCACGATTTTCTAGGCGATTTCGGAACGTGAGTAGCAAACCACAGGCATTATCATAAATCAAATATTTAGGTAATGGACTGAAAGAGAAAGCATTTTATGTATACTTCCCATCATTTTGATATTCACAGTTCTCACTCACATTGTTGGTGATAAGCAATCAATTGTTGTAAATAAATGATGTAGTACTCGTGTAGGTGATTCAGATCTATATAATTCGTTGAAATTTACGATGATGCCACAATTGTACATAGTGAGCACTATTCCATAGGATGTTCGACGATTAGAGTAGCGATCAGTTCTATTACAACGGAAATGTGAAAAATGTATATCTTTTTATAAGCGTACTCACCTAGAAACATTACAATCTACAACAGTATACTCATCCTTGTCGGTTGAACAATGTACTAATTGCGTGTTTTCAAGATGGATATGTTTGGGACAATATTTCGTATTCGTCCAGTAACCTGGATTTTGTTTATCTCGAACCATTTCTGGACGAAAACCACAACCCCATTCAATATCACCTGAAATATGCATAAGAATAGCTTGCTAAATATTTTATAAAATTTTACCTAGCTCTTCCGAATGAACAAGTTCCTGCATAAAATTACAAACAAAACGATCAGGCTTTTGAAATCCATCGATAACAATGGCTTTGCAACATTGACTACCACAATCAAATTTTGACAAATGATTGGACCAATATAAAATAAAATCACGTTCTAATTGAGGCAATTGATCAGTAAAAAAATTATTTCGTTCTTCACGACTGCTAATATGATGTGGAATTCCTATTTCGTCAGTTGCTGATAAGAAAAATTTCAATAATGACGTTGAATAAATTAACCAAATATTTTCGAACAACCGACGTTCCAGCATTGGTTGATCTTTTATTTCAACATCATTTTTATGGAAACGTTGTAATAATATTGATGTTACTGTATCATTATAAGCATCGCAAAAATTTTCGAATCCAGCATACTAGAATAAAATTATATAGTAAAAATATTTCAGAAAGGTGTCAAGAATATGTAATTAATTTTAGGATGAATACCAACACACATTGAAGAGTTAATTATAATTTCTCTAACTTACCATATTGATCAAGTCTGAAGCATAACGTAATAGAACATCGATATGAAGAACACATTTGCCACCAAAATGAATATATTTTTGATTGAATAAACATTGACGAATGACAAAACGCTTTGAAGCTTTAATATAACTATTAGTATAGTAATCAGTATGACAACAACGAGCAATAAAAAGAACTCCATTATCAACACGATCCAAGAGAAAAACGTTAACTTTCTCTTTAAACCGTAACTTCAGTGGTTGTTGACAATATAAACAAGATGATGTGAATGGTTTTATAGTGTGTAACGATGCGAATGTAAGAAAATGATGATCTCTAGAATACTTATTTATGATTTTGTCGACGTTGTCTAATGAAAATAAATTTAACGAGATTTTATCTGATTTCAATAAATTCAAAATGGATTGTATCACCACGCCATCATATTTGATACCATATGTCAATTGAACCATATTAGATATATCATCATATTTGGTTGAAATAAGTTCATCCAATCTACTATAAAGACAATATATCAAATTCAAATGTTGCAATGGTATTCGTCGATTCAATGAAATAAGAAACATTTCATCATCAACAATATTACTAATATTGCTAACAGGATTCATCTGAAAAATAGAAAGAAATAAATGTAGAAACCTCGGATTCAAATTCGAGTGATATTTGTACTTCAAAAAGTATAATATTTCTTCCTGTAACTCAGTAAATTCTTGACTAATTATTCTCATCTTCGAACTCGACGGAGATATTGATGAGACGATACTCTATAGAAAATATCATGACAATCGTATCAGCCTTTCCTGAATTATCGTGTAAATGGCCGACCGGACATACTGACTCATTCTATAGTGTACTCACTTTTTGAATACACAAAAACTATTAATACGATATCTTTATTCATTAGATTAAATGTTATTAATCGTAACATTCTTATAAAGAAAAGCTGTTAACAAACAAATATTGGTTTCTAGCTCTTTTATTGTTCAACAATATGCAATTAACAAATAAAACAATTCAACAAAAACACACCACAAGCACATAAATGTAGAAACAACGTTTACTTTCTATTGTTAGAACAAATGAGAGAAGTAATAGGTAAATCGCTTAATGTACAATTTCGATCTTCAAACACTAAAACATTTACGTTTGCTTCGGTTCACCTTAATATAATCACTACACAAAAAATGCTTAAGATCAATTCTTTTTCTTCTTGGATTTAGATTGCTGCTCTTTATATTCTTTTCCTTTGCCTGTTAACGCACGACGTCTTTTTGGACTTAAAGCATGTTCAACATCGTGTTCAAAAATTGTTGAATCATCGACTTTTTCCATTGTGACTAGAGATAAAAAAATACATCGTTTTACAAGCTATAAAAAAACACGCATATATTTACCATTTTCTTTATCATTATTACGATTAGCATCAGGCTCATTTGGTAGTTCACGAAATCGTTCACTTGTTGGTTGTATAATGGCATCCTTATTTACATCGATCTTCAAATTATTGTATGGTTTCTCTTCCAAAATTGACATTCCATGTGATGTTAAATAGGTAGTGTTTTTTGTATCAACTAAAACATTGTATATATTATTAATTGTTCATAATATATCGTTTCAATCACATCTTTTTTATTTTTTTTCTTTTTCTCATAAATTTCGACTTACTCTAAAAGTCTTGATTTAGTTTTCGTAAATTTTACTAAATTCTTATTGCACCATTACACATATAGTAGCTAGTTAGAATGACATTATTCTTCTCATGATCTACGCAGAATTTACTTCACTAGTTACAAATAATATCTCAGTTTAAGATCCGAAAAGAAATGAATATCATTAGAATCACTATTAGCCAACAAAAGCATGATATTTGGCCAATGCTAAACTCATTTGAACTATTTCTCAAACTACAGAAAAGCATTACTCATCATATCTGAATCTTTATCAATTTTAAACGTATCAAACTTACTTTTTTTTAATGTTGCATAATACAGATCAATATCGATAATTCCAAATCGAGCTAATGCTACAGAAAAATCCACTAAGTCTGATTTATTTTTTGGAATTTTTTTCAAATAAGATTCAAAATAAGAATGCTTGTTTGCTAATAATTTTTTGTCTTTTTCTAATAATCCATTATCAATTAATAAACGACAAGCTTTGTGCACATCAATCATATTGATGTTGTTGCATGTTTTGTTTAATTTTGTACTGGACAAAATAATCGAATCTGATAATAAGATTTTTTTACATAATTCTTTCATATCTTCTGTTAATATACAACTATCTGATATTGCATATTTGATTGCAATTGCAGGTGAAGAAACTATGAAGCAAAAAATTTATATCCATCATGCAACATTCGTATATTTTACCTGTATTGTTTTCACGTGTAATTGAACCAATCATTGGTACATCATTTGTATTATTGGAATCAATTATTTGTTCAATAATATTCGATAGACAATTTTCAACTGTAGTCATAAGTACATCATCATTGGATGACTCTGAACAGAACTCTAAGATATTATTAAATATATAAAATGTGAAACGAAACATCTTACCGGTGTAATATTCAATTACTGGTGGAAGATTGATATCTGGAATGGTATCAATTGATTCACTTGTATTATAATGAACTGAATTACTGATATCTTGAACGACATCTAATGCATGTAAATGAAAACAAATAGTATCTATATCTTTAAGATGTTATCATTACTTGTAAACATTGTTGTTCGTTCAATTTGTGGTAAGATTGTAGATGAATTAGTAGTTAATTCTGAAAGTAAGAAAAAAAACTCCAGTTTATTAATATCATGGACAATAAACTGATGTATGTTTATTTCCTTTAGTTTTAACAACCTTGATGTTCTGTTTTAAATATGTTAATTTGGTAATACGATTTATTTCTTCAAAAAAGATAAGTATAGATAAAAATGTCATGTATGTAGTATAAATCTCGTTTGATTATTTATGAGTCGAAAAAAATCTCTCATATATTAAACCTGCTTTTTTTTCTTTAATAAGTAGATGATTTTTTCATTAGTATGTTTTCTATACTAAATTCTTGATTAATATCTTATCTTTTTTATGCATATGAAATAATTGTTTAGTAATGCTTCTTGTCTAACGATATAATGAAAAGTAATCAGTGATATGTCATCAGCGTTGTTGATTTCAAATAACCTTGACTACACATAATGGGAAGATAAACTTTCTTATGAACTATTCACTTAAATTTTGCACTATATTCCGATGAAATATGTTGACAAAAAAACTTATTCAAGCTCTCACGTAAGTAAGTTTTACATTGACTAAAATATTATACATGAGAAAAAGCTATAATTTTCTACGTGTCTTCTGTAACTTTATTAAATCTCGAGAAATAATTATTAATCAAAACATTTTACCTGAACGTGCACTTTGCATAGAAGGATTATGAATTTTTTGTCGTAATTGTTCAATCCATGATTTTTGTGTTAATAATATACTTTGACCTGCTTCAGTTAATAATGAATTATCATCAATACCATTTTCATAATATTCAATATATTTTTCTAAATCGAGTTGGTAACTCGTGTTCAATTCATTTTTAAAATGTTTGAATTGTTCATCGTTTGTTGGATCAGGTAACGTTTTAATCCAAGTCTCAATTAATCGAAATGAACTTTTTTTAAATTTACCACATTTAAGAAAACGTTTTTGTTGTAAATTCAAAAGTAGTGGTTTCACATCGATTTTATGACGTTTGTAATCTATAAAAAAAAGGTAATGGCAATTCTGAGCATAATTGTTTAAATAATACTATTACTGTGAAAAATGCCACCACATGTTAAGTCGCTAATTGAAAAGCAATTAACTGGATATTGGATAATTTTTAATTCATTTAATATAGCCTTTTTAATATGAATTGAATCGGTACAAAATAATCGAATGGATTGAGGAAGTAAAAGTTTGTGAAAAAAATGAACAGCAATTTGGCAAGCAGATAATCCAACTTTCATTGATTGTAACGGTGCTTTGTTCACACTAGTAATTCGAACTTCTTTCAATTCTTTTAAATCGACACCATCCGGATAAGAAGATTCATTGTTAACTTGACTACGAATAAAAGAAAAGTTTGTAGCTATTTTTCTGAATAGAAATTCTATATTCTTTCTATACCATGAATAATTGAAATAAAATCTACATGTATTTATTGTCGTAGACAAAGGATATTTACTTAAATGAAACTCTAAATGCTCAATTTATTGCAAACGTAAAAAGCAATATAATACTGAATCTGTACACTTAAGTTTTTTTTTCGTACTACAAAATAAATGACTCATGTGGCTGAATCCTGTTTCTAATAGGCAATTAGTTGATATCGTTTTCTCATCATTCAACGCAGGAGCGTGTGTTCACTTTTTCTACCTCTTTTTGGCTGAATATGCATCGCACAACAGTCAATTTAGAACAGCTATTATTTTTCACTTCTCTACTATCAGTAAAAGACCTATAGAAATAATTTCCTCTTCTAGATATTAATATGTTCATGGAATAGCATTTAAGATACTCGACTGAATTTCAAACAAGCAAAGACAACAGAAAAAATTGACTATGAAAGTAGAATAGTATCGAATACATATAAGTCAATGTTTCTCTAATGAAAACAATCATATCCGAATCTACTGCACTTACTTCCACCATCAAAACATTACGAATATGCGCGCTAGCTACCCGTGGATTTTCACTAGGTTAGAAATTGTTTGCTATGAATTCATTCTCTTAAGTGTAGAAATCAATATATCATGCATTATAGAAATCTTTTTTTTTTTAAGTTTATATTTGAAAAAGTCACATTGTCTATGGTTAAATATATGTTGTATTTACCTTAACATTTCATTGGAATAAAAATATTTACCAATGTTGGCTTTGATTTCATTTAGTGTATCTTGTTGAATAACATTAAAATTAATAGATTTGATTGGCTCTAACACTTTTAATGTATCAAAAATATTTTGTATAATGACGGCAATACGTTCAATAAGATCAGCACCACGTCGTTCACATGCTTCTACAACAAAAAATATATTATCGAAAAACTGGAAAACAAATTTTACCAGCACGTTTATTTTTTGGAACATTAAACAAGCCTTCATATGATGAATCATTAGAACGCATCTTATATAAAATTGGTCGAAGATAATTTAATGCAGCATCATCATATTCATAAATACGATTACCAATAAGCATTCTTGTTATGTATAAGTATTCCAAACTCGGTAATTCTTCATTAAGTAATGAATGTTCATGTACAAAATTTTTTTTGCCAATTATCCAATATAGAAATCGTTCATACAAACCTAATAATAAAGATCTGCAGTTAAAAAGACATATCAAATAGAAAATCAATACCATTCGTTTGGGATGAATCATAAAAATAGTCCAATAATGCAGGCCATCGATCACCAGTAGTTGGAATTAACATTGTAAGACTTTTATCTTTAATATCTTTCGAATATGTCATAGTAGATCTTTGAAGCTTGTAAGCACCATTAAATGCTGAAATTAAACATGGCTGTGCTTCCTTTGCTTTTGGTGAATTGGGTTCGAAAAATGAAAAATCAGTTAACGGACGATCTTCGTCCGATGAAATGAATTTCTAGTATTAGAATTAACATAAAAATCTATTCAATACATTGCTAAAAACAAACTTACCGATGATAATTCGAGTTCAACAAGCAGTTTAGCTGGTGTCAGACTTTCGATGCAAGTTGAATGAAATTGCTTATTTGAATCAGTTAATTGATCTTTAAAATAATTTTCAACAAAATTAAATGCTACTCTGATTGGTTTTATATATCCAGATTTATGTGAAACTTGATTAAAAAATAAAAACTTAATATCGATTAAAAAATATAGAAAGATTTACCTGAATCTCCTCGGAGAATTCCATAAAGTTTCAAGTTAATATAATCAAACTTTTCTTTGTCAAATAATTTTGTTTCACAAGACCTTTGATGATACAAAAACCTGACTGAGATGTGTCATGAGTACTATTAAAACTTACCAGTGCATAAATGTAATTAAAAAACACCAAAAGAGTGTCACCTCATTTAGTTTTCGACTTCGATAGTTTTTAAAGATTGATATTAAATATGGCTCATCCGTAAAAAAATCTTCCAATTTATGTGACGATGTTAAAATTTCACAAAAATCAACGTTGCATGCATCGATCTCGTTTAGTTGCTTCAACCAATCGGCTTTTTTAGCCATGAGAAAAAATGTTTTGAAATTAGTGATCTACAAATAAAATTTCTAATTAAATAAAATGTATGCTGTTAGATTTCCAGAAGTTAATCTAACAAGGAATTCCTAAAGAGATCTAAGATAGTAAACATTAACATGCATTAAAATTGATAGAAATCTAGATTCCTTTTCATCTGCCATTGTTTATCTTCCAAAAAAGACCAATCTAATAGTTTAATATGAATTTATTTAATGGAACAATTATTGATGAAAACCGAAACGTCAAACTTTTGACGATTTCAGAAAAAAAAATAAAAATCGCCTAAACTATAAGCATATGAATGATACTCAAGCACATATATCACATGAAAACGTTGCGAGGACAAACGAAAGAAAACTGTTTTACAATACTGATTCAAGATAATATTCCAGTTCTGAATCACTTACCTCGACTTAACAGTTTACAGTTAGAAAAAACCAACCGCAGATACGTATGCAACACCATATATAGTGCATTTTCTACATCATAAAGGTCATATGATGGTCATTGTCTTACTCGTCAGTTATCTCCCATCTCAGCCAGATAAAATTGACCGTCATTATTGTTCTTTCGTGTTTCATTGTACATCTACATAAGTGCCGACTATTGCAGCAATCGTCACTAAATAATCTTTCAATTTCCAAACCAATCACAATTGATAATGCAATGGATTTTATGGACGAATACTTCATTATTTTTTCTGTGAACTGAGGAGGCATTGAGCTATTTATATCCAACAATTGGTGATCTTCTGTTTTATACCGCGTTCTGCTACATTTGTTCAACCAACTTTAAACAGAAGTAATACTCTGTTACGAAATCTCAATACATTTATGCTTCTTATGGAAATATCTTGTTCAATGGCACTTTACATAAAGAACCAATACTATTCGTCAAAGAAATATAAAAATCATGCTTCTTATATTGAATATGCGCAAAAAATTCAAACACATTGAATGTAATGTTCTTCTCTTATCAGCAAAGAGAAGGTAGTATATTCACATATAAATACTATTTGTATCTGTCTCATTGCTGACTCTAAACGATCGAAATAAATAAATAATCGTATACACATGTATATAATGGCAAATGTTGTATCCTTTGTTTACATGCTTTCAATATTCTAAATATCAACATAGATTTCACATAGCTGATTGTTATATAATTACGTGATTCTTTTCATTATGATACGTTATTTTCCATTATAATATAAAGACCAAATACATGGATATAAAATATTTATTTTAAATTTAAATGTATCATGCTTTATTCCTTCTACGAAATGATGTAAATACGAGTGCAGATCCGCACTTGGAAAGTCAAGTAACTGATATTGTTGTATTTGAAGAAAATATAATTTATTTTTTGTGGTCATGAAATCATTAAACTGAATCCACTAAAGCTCTTCAATCTTCAGATTATATAGCTAACTTTAAAGTAACAAGATGATTACAGCAAATTCACTCATATCCCTCAACTTCTAAATGCATAGTTCATTTTCTGTAACGTGGTCGTTACAGTAAATCCACTCAAATCCCTCAACTTCTAAATACATAGTTCATTTACTGTAACGACCACGTTACAGTAAATCCACTCAAATCCCTCAACTTATAA